GCCTTTATCTCGACGTTTTTCTTTCTCTCCATCTTAGTAAGCTCGCGGAGATAGCGTTCTTTCTTTTTGGCAAGAGCCTTTTGCTCGTCCTCTTCAACCGTGCAAACTTGCTTGGCCAGTTGGTCTCGGTCGGTAGCTAGCTCGGCCAGCTAGGCTTTAACCTATTTTAGCGCGGCTACCTTGGCCTCAGCATCAACAACAATCGCCCGAGCTATTTTTCGCAGCTCAAGCACATGTTTGTGAGCAACGTGGCTTTTTTACACGACATTCAAAAGAGTGGGATTATGGAATAAAACTTTACCAGGACGAGCGACTTTATGGCAGACCGTATAGCCTTCAACTTAGTGAGTTGTTCATGCCACTCCATGTTGGCTGGCAGACAAATGCTTTTTGATAAGTTGAAAGCCAGTAGGTGGTCCTTATTGGCTGTAATAGAATCCGCTGTGGTAACAGTACATCCCTAAAGGTCATGGCTGGTGCCTATGCTAGAGAAAAGGAAGGGTTAGCACGACTCTCAAGAAGCCCGACTTCAGGTCGCTTAGTCTCCTCCTCGTCCACCAGGCGCTATGGGTTGGCGGCAGAGGTGCGAGGCCTTTTGCTCGGTCAAGATGAAACAGCCCAGGCGGATAGAAGTGCAATGACCATCTCGCGTGGCAGATCAGCTGGGGGTAGTTGGATCTCCATTTCGGCATTGGAGACGGAGGCTTACTCTGTGATTAAAGCTTGCACTCTTCTCTTTGTCATTTCTTGCTCAATGGTGAGTAGGATGAGACTGATTTGGGGAAGACTTGGGTCTGACTCAAGTGAAGGCTCTAGCAGGAAATCGGCGACCTTACTTTTGCTCCTACGACTGTAGCAGTAGGTCGGTTGGAAGCCCAAGAGCTCGGTCCAAAGCCTTTGTCTGTATCTTAGCATGGCATGAAGCGCATTCTGATCTGCGTAAGTGTAAGTCGAATTAAGTTGGTTGGAATTTGCAAAAGAAAAACCAACAGTTAGCATGGCCAACGGTATCGAAATGGCAAAGTAGGTAAAACCGAACTATTCTTACCAACTGCCCTTATTCCAATTGATATTGTAGCTCGATATTGGGGCTTCGCGGTCCTTAAAGTTGTTTGAGACCCTGAGAAAATCATCATCGTTTAAATCTTTGTCTAGTGTTCTATTGACGATTTTCTCTCAGTCTTTTCTGATTCTAAGGTAATATACCCAACCGTCATCATTTTGGCCTAGCGAATACAGATGAAATAGCTCAACTAATCTGAGGTTGAGGCCAAGACGGTGATTGAGTTTGACAATGCCGTTTATTATTCGATTTGTGTTGGTGGATAATTGAATAGGGCATAGTCTGGTTTGCCTAAGAAATTCGCGGATGAGGGGCTGGACTGGGAACCAGAGTCCACCCTCTATAGTAGATAAAAGAGTGAACGGGACAAAGCTGGGTTTGCCCCAGGGTGTAGTGTCTAGCTCGGCCAGCTCGAATTGTACGTCATCAGGGATATTGTAGTCCTTTTGGAACTCGACTATAGTGTAGGGCAAACTCACCAAGAAGCGACACTTACCCATGGGAGTTGATCTATCAGAAATAACTTAAGGAGTAGTTTGGTTGGCTAGTTGGGCCGATAGCTCAATTGAGCAGCATCACCAGGTGATGTGGAGAAGCAGTGTCTGACCAACCTCGTGAAGTCTGCAAAGTGAGAAATAAAAGTGTTATACCACAGGGATTGACCGGGCAAGGCAAGTGTGTGTACCAGCCAAACGTAGTTCGACCGTCTAGTGTGCATGCAATGGGTAAGGTTTTAGCCCAGTTCTGATTATATGCAAGGTTTTAGCTCGGTCACGAGAAAGGTGGTACTTGTAGTTTGACTGAATCCGCAGACGGTGATACAGACAGGTTTTTGCTCGATTCATGTTGGGGGCAAGGTATTAGCCCGAGTGCAGTTTCAGGTGAGGTTCCTAGTTCAATGTAACCATTTGAGGGACGACTAACAAGCCGTAGCTCGGTCATCATATCTTGAGTGGGTCACAAACAAGTTTTTAGTTCGGCCATTATGTTATTTTGGATCAATAATCTTTGGTTTGTTTGGTTTTTACCTCGTTGGTTTGGTGTCCACCTCTAAGAGAAACTAGAGGGGTATTTTGTGGCCCTAGTATAGTTCCACATCCGTTTTTGATATGTTTTTAGTGGATTTATTCTAAAAAAAGTGATGCTCTCAAACGTCAGTGTTGAGTTAACCACTTTTAGAACCTAGAAAACGGGAAGAACATAATGAACTACCATAAAAATAAATATTGGAAATAGAAGGAAAGTTACGGATTTTTGCAGACAATTGGATTCCAACTCAGTGGCAAGTGCTCCAAGCAACAGTGATGAGCGCAAAATGGGGAGAAGATGCTTGGGCTAGGACTTGAGTTGAACAATGGTGGTTCAAATGTTCTGAGAATAAAAGGTCTCAGGCAGAGATGATGAACAGTGGAAGTGTCTCTTCCACTGCATATCAGTTATATATCTAATAGAGGCAAAAAGGTGGGACGATTCAAAGTGTTTGGAAACGAGTGCCTGACGGCTGTAATGGGGTCACGGGCACAATGGGAAGGTGCTACGTGTTCCAAGTGTGTTAGACGCGTTTGGCTTGTCAGACTGAAGGATAGATGTGTTGTGCAGTTGAAAAGACTCTTGAAGATCGAGCAATATGTGGGAGTAAGCAAAAATTTTAGCTCGATTAATTTGGGCATTTCTTAGCTTAGTTAAGGGTAAGTAATCCCAATCATGTGGTACAGATGGAATTAAGGGGCAATTGAGAAGGTAATTTGTGTGCAAATTGAGCCAAGCTAGGTGAAACCTTCTTTGGAAGTTGGGTCGTGCAAATGGTCTGAGATAAGACTTTTGTGTAGCTCGATCTTGGGCCGAGTAAGCGCTATGCCGATCACAGATGTGTTGCTAGGGCTTGGACCTAGCTATCTGGGAACAGATCTTTATCAAACTAAGGTGATTGCCAGTGTAGAGGGCTGAGCTAGGTGTAGCTCGGCAGGTGGCCATCCTGTAGCTAGGGTCATTATGGCTCTAACCATGGGGAGTACCGAGCCAAGATAGCTCGGTTGACCGCAGTGACAACCGAAATAAAGAGTTTTAACCATCTCACTTGGTTAGTAGTGAGTTGGGTGTTATCAGGATAAGAATTATCTTGTGGAAAAGTAATTCCTAGGAGGACTCTGCTAAAGAGAGTTTGAGTCCTACTAGAAATGTGCCTGGCGAAATCTATAAAAACTCATGACAAAACCTATGAACATGTATTGCAATTCTTACACAGAGCTTATTGTTTATTGTCTACTTAGTGACTTAGGCATCGGAGGGGTTTTTTGGCACACATCTGCCGGCTAGCTCACGTGTATTTTTAAATATCAAAGCGACGACGTTTGGAGGAGTGCAAACTTGATCAACAGGATTATATGAGAAGATTATTTCGTTCTCGTACAATATCTATAAATGTTACCTTTGATCTAAAATTATTTGTAAAAAATTACACTGAATAGTAATTGTCCTTATAAAAATTCCTTACAAACGAAGAGAGAGAAAAAATGATACAAGAAATACAAGAGGAAAAGAGTTATGTGACACAGTGAAAAAAATGGTCAAGTTTCCGCTGAAAGGATAAACAATTATAAATGAGAGTAAAAAAAAAAATTCTACACTATTTTTGTTTTGTTTTTGCAAATCTTTATTTAAATTTAAAATTTAAACAAAGTTTAAAATTTAAATAAAATTGCATCACATTTATAAAGTTAAAAAATCAACATATTTTTTGAATAACAAGGTATCTAAGTTAGTTTGTATGCTCCTCAACTAATGTCAAGTTCTTTAAGTTAACAACTTCACACAATTTGCGATCCACACTCATATATAAATAGTGTAAAATATTTAATAATTTATAGAAAAGTTTTAACACTTTAATTATTTGAGAAATTACACATGACCCTACTCATTTAACTATTGTCGATCCTAGTTAGTTAAGCGTAATTGTATACTCTCATCTTGTGTACTATAAGGTGGCTGAGAAGCTTTTTGCTATGTTGTCCTGTGCCTAGTGTATATTTAAAAAATATTTTTAAATTAATAATAAATTATATAAATATTAAAATGCAAAATCATAATTTTGTTGATATATTTGTAATTAATTTTTTTAGATTGAGAAAAAATATTCATTGTTAAACTAATAAAAGGTCGGATAAATTCGATACAGTGGTATCACAAAATCTCAAAAAGATATAGCCTGTGTTTGGCAAGGGTTTTTTCAGGTTTTTTTGGCTATTTTAGCCACAAAAAACAAAATAGGCTATTTTAGCCATAACAAACAAAACATCACATCCAACCTATAATCATTACATTCTTCTCTCACAAAAAAAGTCAAAAAAGCCAAAAAACCAAAAAGCCAACCCACTTCCCAAACGGAGGCATAAACAACCTCTGTAAAATGAATGATCCAAATCTCCATAGTGGAGAAGAAAAGGCTCCCGCAAAGAAGGGAAACAAAAACCTCCATTTATGAAGGATTGTTACATCAACAGATAAAAAAATTTAAAAACTCATAAAAAGAAAAATGAGATTCAAGTCGCCACCAAACTCATACAAAATTTCACTATTCGACAACCTCCAACCTAAAATTTAAAAATCTACCTTTACTTGTTAAGATAAAATATTAAAGTTGAGATAGTCGCTTTGTATGAAATAAATGCATTATTCAGTATCGACCTTTGGACTATGGAAAGATTTAAAGGCAAATTTTAAGATTTTGAACAAGAGAATGAAGAAAATAAGACAATAATGTAAATATCAAATCTAAATTAAGAATTAGATGTAGAGAAAGATTAGGAGAGATTTCTCTGAACTTTTCTCGACCCGTGAATTACCCAGCGGGTCCACACACCCAAACAAATATCTCTGTTTCAGGATTACTTTTAACAACCAATTAAATCAAAATTAAAAAGCACTCCCAAAAATCACATCACCGTCTATTCTCACTAGCTTGATAAAAACATTTGATATAACCATCGACAACCGTCGATCGACGCAGAAACATGGAATCAACATGCACATCCGACACACTGAATGGCATCATTGACTTAGACCCCAAGTCTTGCACGGAAAAGTCCGAACAACTCTTCTTCCCTGATAAGCCCGTTAATGGCGGCTCATATTCTGCTTCCTTCACACAGTCCAGTCAAAATACTCTCTCTCTCTCTCTCTCTCTCTCTCCCCAAATTTCAACACACCATCTTCTTCTTAGCTTCATCTTCTCTCTCTAGAAACCCATCTCCACTCTCTCTCTCTCTCTCTCTCTCTCTCTCTCTAAAACCCATCTAATCCTCCATGGGTCCAATTCTTCAAGCAGCCTTCGCCGCTATAGCGAGCTTCTTCGTTGTAACCATAATTTTCCTTGTGATCGTCGGCCTCTGCAAAGGAGGCAAGAAGCAAGACCCACAATCTCGAACCCGAACGGTTCCCAATTCGGATCTCTCCTCCATCGCCATCAGCGAGAGCGCCTCCTTTGACCGGTCTCTCCACCGGATCTCCATGGGCGAACTCGTCAAGGCGACCCGGGATTTCTCGTCGGACCTCATCATCGGCGACGGCAGCTTCGGGCTGGTCTACAAGGCCCGACTCAACTCCGGTCTCACCGTTGCCGTCAAGAAGCTCGGCTCCGACGCCTTCCAAGGGTTCCGGGAGTTCCGGGCCGAGATGGAGACCCTCGGGAAGCTCCGGCACCCGAACATCGTCACGATCCTCGGCTACTGTGCCACTGGGTCGGACCGCCTCTTGATTCTCGAGTTTATCGAGAAAGGCAGTCTTGACCAATGGCTTCTTGACACGTCATCATCGAATAATGACGCGTCAACCCCAATTTTACCCTTATCTTGGGAGACGAGACTTAAGATCGTTAGAGGGGTAGCCAACGGGCTAAATTACATGCACAATTTAGACAAACCTATAATTCATAGAGACATCAAAGCTAGCAATGTGTTGTTAGATTCTGAATTTGAACCGCATATCGCTGATTTTGGATTAGCGAGGAGAATTGAAGGTACAAGTGCCCATGTGTCGACTCAAGTGGCTGGAACAATGGGGTACATGCCGCCAGAGTACATTAATGGCGCCACCATGGCGACAACGGTGGGAGATGTGTACAGTTTTGGAATTTTGATGTTGGAAATCGCGACAGGGATTCGGCCCAATTTGCCATTCAAGGTGGAAGAGGAGGGAGGTTGCAAGGAAGTGAGATTGGCCGAATGGGCTCGGAAAATGGCAGAGAAAAATCAACAAATGAAGATGTTGGATGCTAATATTTCTAGGGATGGGCTAAACCAAGATGGGGTTGTGGAGTTTTTCAAGATTGCTACATCTTGTTCTAGTGAGGAATGCAAGCTTAGGCCTTCCATGAAGGAGGTTATGGAGTCGTTAAATCGGATTCCGACTTGAAATAATTTTTTTTTGCATTGGTTACTATGCCATTGCAAATACTAATTTTTTTTGCAACCAATCGTCCTACTATGCAAAAAAATTTAGACGCAAAAATCTTTTTTCTGGTGGTAGTGTTTGACGCAGAGTGAGGACAAGTTTGTTGAATTGTTTGTATTTGTTCATGGGCTCAATCAAGTGAGGTCATGGAAATGAAGATTGTGAATAGCTTTTGGTAGGCAGTGGCAAAAGGGTAAATCGTGTATGAACGATTGTTTCTGATTTTTATGGTGTTTTTTGTAAAGCTTGTTTATATTGAAGTACGTTTTTTTTTTTTTTTTTTTGGTTGAGTTTTTGGTAGTTGTTTAAGGTAGTATGATATGATGATTCATGAAGTTTGTTAAGTCACTGTTGCATAATAATTACATTAACCAAGTATTCATTGAATTGTATTTAAAGGTTTATACTTTTTGCAACGTTAATTCATCTTCATTTCTCATGTTGTTTAATGGATGTTCTATGCAATGTTAATTCTTCTTCATTGGAAGTGGGAAGGATTAGGTATTGTTTTCCCTTTTTGTTAGAAAATAAAAAACAAAACATTAATTGATTTCAAAAGCTTGTCTGACAAATTATTTTGAAAATGACTTTTGGAAAAGTTTTATGAAAAGCACTTTAAATTGCTTGAAAGACTTTTAAGATAATACTTTTAAACACAAGGCAAACATTTGAAAAAAAAAAAATATGATAGGGGAAAGTTGTATCTTCTTCTAGAAAAATACCTTTAAATCGTTTTAAACACTTCTGGGAAAACACTTTCAAATACTTTTAGGAAATCACATTTAAATTGGTTTAAACACTTTTAGGAAAATACTTTCGGAAAAAAAGAAAAAATTGATATGAAAAAATTGTTTGACAAACTGTTTTTTGAAAGTAGTTTTTAGAAAAAAAAATTATGAACTGCTTTTAAGAGAACACCTATAAATTGTTTTCTAATTTTTTTGAGAAATGATTTTGCATAAAAATAAAGAGCATAAATTACACTTTGGCCCCTTGTGTTTGGCCACTTTTTCACTTTGGCCCTTAAAAAATTTTTTTTTTTTTATTATGGCCTTTCATGTTTCAAGTTTTTCTCAATTTACTCCTAAAACTAATTTCTGTTTCAAATTAGATAGAAAATACCATGATAACTATCACATAATACAAAAATATATTATTATATTGGGATTTAAATTTGTGTCAGAAGTATAAATTATATATAGTAAAATATTTTTATGCCATGTAACTGTCAATGTGTCATTTTCTGTCTAATTTTTAACAGAAGTTAGTTTTAGGAGTAAATTGGGAAGGGGCTTGTCTCCAGTCTACAAAGTGAACTGGACGATACTGTTGGGTCTGTGGGACCCACCACAAGTCTTATTTCGATGATTTGAACCGTTCAATGTATAGAGCTTGTTAAGTACTTCATCCTTATAAAAAATCACGTTGATTAGATACCGATAGCCTCTTGATCAGATAATATTTTTTTCAATGGTAAATATGATTTAAAAAAATAAATTGTTGACAAAAATGTGTTCTGATCAAGAGTCTATTAATATTTTATTAATGTGATTTTTTACAAGGCTGAACTACTTGATGAACTCTATACATTGAATGGTTCGGATTATCGAAATAGGACCTGTGGTGTGCCCCATAGACCCAACAGCACAACTCTCCAATTGAGAAAAACTTGAAATATAAATGATCAAAGTAAGAAAAAATAAACTTTAAAGACTAAAGTAGCCAAATATAAAGAAAGCAAAGTATAATTTACCCAAAATAAAAATGATGAGTATTTTTAAACTTTTCATGATTTTTGCTTATGAGAACACAAAAAGATGAAAATGAGAAAAAAGATTAATTGAAAACTAGGGATGATCGCGGATTAGGTTGGGTTGGGTGGCATCATATCTTTCATCCGTCCAAATTTAGACGGATTAAAAAAAAATCAATCTGCACCCGTCCACAGATTTGGCAGATGCGGATTGAGTAGGCCGTACAGGTTAACGGATGGATACGATTGGATTGGCAGTTTGGACTTTACAAATTTTGGACATTTTTTTGAATTATAATTTATAACTTTTATAATCTCCAATAACTAGTAATTTGAAAAAATATGTATTATTTGTCTATATAATAGGTCATGACATCACGTATGTATATTTTTCAGGTATTGTTTTCATTTTTAACAAAAATATACATTTATTATTTCTATTCTATATTGTTACTTGTTAGTATTTTTTTTTCCTGAACTTTATCTACGAGCGAATTGAGTTCATACGGGTGCGGGATGATTGATACATTATCCGAACCATATCTATAGATTTTGAAATATTTCATCTGCATCCGTCAATCGAAATACACGTATCCATCCAAAATTAATCAGATTGGGTAGGTTCGATCAAGTTAGATAGGTTGGACAGATTCATGATCACCCCTATAGAAAATAATATCAAAAAGGGAAAGACTATGTGTATACACACCTCAAAAAGTGTGTACCGCATACACTTTATAATTAAAGAAGAAAATGACATAATTTCATACTTTTTGAGTCATAACTAAAAAAAAAAAATCATAACCAAATAACACAAGAGGCATAACAAAATTTTTTGTAAGTAATAATTAAAAAAAGTCATAATTAAAAAAAAAATTAAAGATACATAAAATAGAAAATGTGCATAGCAAAATTTTCCTATAAAAAACATACTTCACTTTTGTTTGTCATTGTCATTAATAGACATTCCTTAGAGCATTTTCAACGGTTGAACAAATTTTTCATCAAATTTGAGTAAAAAAAAGACGTTTGGCTCAATTTGATATCAATCACCCCAATGGTGTACTGTAGCTTTCATCAAAATGCACTGGGCGTCCGGGGGGACGACCGGCCGGTTGACCGAAAAGAGCAAAATCTGTACAATTCTGTAGTTGAATTTTCAAGCTTGAGGGTCATCCGGGGGGTCGATCTCCCAGTGTAAAATCTGTACAAAATTTTGCGAAAATTGGTCATCTGATAGTGAAAATACAACGGTAATGAATAGTGTTTTGGTGAAAGACCCAAAGCATTTTTAGTTTGGTGAAAAATTTGGTGAATTTTCAATTTGATATCGTTTTGATGAAACTGTTGGAGACAAAAAAAACTGTCATTTTTCACCAAATTCAAATTTGGTGATGAATTTGGTGAACCATTGGAGATGGTCTTAGTGACATTTTATTGGATTTGTGATGACGAATGATGAAGTGGTGGATTAGCAAATTACTCGAGAATTATTTTTTATTACAATGATTCCCTGCTCATATCATTGATGAATTATTAAAAAAAAAAAAAATTGTGTCATATAAATTAAAATTTTGAGTGATTTATTAAGGGTTAGTTTGGCATGTTTGAAAAAAGTCAAAAAGTTAAAAAGTTATTATCCTATTTAAGTTACATTATCTTATTTAAGTCACATCACCTTTATAATACATCACTTCAAACCCAACTCATATTTCATAAAAAGTCAAAAAGTGCACTTATTTAGATCATCCAAAACAATCCCTAATATAATTATGTAAAAAGTGTATGGTTAATTATGGTAGTGTTTGATTTAGTTTTAGAATTATGATTTGAGAATGAAGTTGTATTTTGAGTTTGTGAGTTGTTGAATCATGATTTGAAAAGAAAAAAATTGTTTGGTTATAAGTTTTGAATTAAGTTTTGAATTTTGGAAATGGGTTTTGAAATAAGAAAAGCTGTTTGATTATGAGTTTTGAAAAGAATTTTCAAAACATAATTCAAAAACTTATAATATATAACCAAACACACAATTCAAAACTATATTGAAAATTTTAATTGAAACTCATAACCAAACTCTTTTTAAAATTTCTATTCAAAAAAATAATTATTGAAAAAAATAAAATTTTTATCTAAAAAATTTTAAAAATTCTAAAAATATTTTTTTATTTAAAATACTAAAAAATATATATAAATAAAATTTTTATTTAAAAAATTCAAAAAATTCCGAAAATATTTTTTTATTTAAAATATTAAATACATATATGTATATATAATTTTTTTGTTAAAAAAATATTCAGCTAGTGCTTTAAAATTACTTTTGATTGTATATTTGATTAGAATTTTTTTAATTGTTTTGTTTAAAAATGTTTTTTTTTTTAAATTACTGTGACAAATTAATTTTTAGTTAATTTTTTTTTTAATTTTAAATAAATGGCCAAATAATTTGTCATTTTGGTCTAAAAAAACAATTTCTATATTTAAAAAATATGAAAAACAAATATAATTTTTTTTTTTCAAATAGCAGGTGGCAATTGCAACTGAAAAAAAAGAAGAAGAAAAAACACTGTATCGGTCAACTAGCCGGATGTCTGGAAGGATGTCCGAGTAGATCCAAAAATTTAAAAACTCTCTCATTACCAAACATGTTTTCAAATATGTTTTGAAATGTGATTTAAAATCATATTTTCAAAACTATAATCAAATGGCAAGTTAAAATATGAGAGTGAAATCATAATTTCAGAATAAAACCAAAGAGCGCCTGTATTTTTTTTCAAACTTCCAGTCCATGACATCATGGCTCTAATACTACTTATTAGACCAAGTTCTATCATCTCTTCTAACACTCATTGGTAGTAGGAAATGTTTTAACATTTAATAGGGGATTTTTTTTTTTTTAAAGTTTCTTGATATTAAGATTTTATAATATAAAGAACATCTAATATTTTCATAATGTCTAAGATCCCTCAATATCGATCCAGAGAAAATTCGATCTAAAAAAATTCTAGAAATTTCTCTAGACTTTCCATTCTCCAAAGAAATTCTCTGGAGAGAAATTTTGGACTTCCCAGAGAAATTCTGAGAATTTCTTCCTACAGTATTTCTCCCCAGAGAAAAAACCTCAGCATTAACAAGAGAACCTCAAACTAATTACTAATTTTTCAAAAAAAAAAAAAATCAAAAAACAAGTTCTAAAAAATGAACTATTAAGATTTACATCTCCATCTTTAATGTGTAGAGAATTTCTCTGGATTTAAACCAGAGAAAATTGAAATTTCTCTGAGCTCAAACACTACAGGAATTATAGGTTTTGACAATGTTTATTTAACGACGTTTTATGAAATGCCACATTTTATACTATTTAATGGCGTTTTTTAACCGTCGCTTTTGTTCAATATTAAAACGGCACTGTTTAACTATTTGAAGGGGTTGAAAAACGTCTTCGAATGTCTCTCTCTGGCGAGCTGGTAAATACACTCGTTCACTCATCAGGAGGATGCCCTAATCTCAGTCTATCGTTAGTTCTCTCTCTTTCTCTCTCTCTCTCTCTCAGTCTATCGTTAGCTCTCTCTCTCTCTCTCTCTAAACAGATGCCCTAATCCCTTCCAGCAGAAATCAACGGATCGGTTTCGATTTTGATTTCGAAGTTCTCTTATTTTGAATCCTTGCGCCTTCTCTGATTTCGATTTCGATTTTGAAGCTTCACTGCCATCACCATCTGCACCGACGAGGTAGGTGAGTTCTCTCTCTCTCTCTCTCTCTCGCAACCCTCTCTAAACGCTTATCATTTGCAGAGATTCAGATCGGTCTCAGTGATATCATCTCAGAGCGATTTCGATTTCAAAGATCCAAAACACCATCTGCACCATCGTCTACTAAGGTGAGCTCCATCGTCTCTCTGTCTCTCTCTGAAACTCTTCATTTCGAAGCCTATTCCAGTGCTGTAATGAAAACATCTCTCTCAATTCATCTCTAAACGCTTATCATTCACAGAGATTCAGATCGGTCTCAGTGACAGTTTCCCCACGTTTTGTCCTTCACTTTTTGTGCAGTTCTTTTTTTCTTTTGTCGATGATTTTGCTTTATTTTGTATTTGTTTCAGGTCCTGTTGCTGAAGACATGTTTCACTGGCAGGCAACAATTATGGGTCCACCTGACAGTCCTTATGCTGGTGGGGTTTTTCTAGTTACCATCCATTTTCCTCCAGATTACCCTTTCAAGCCACCTAAGGTGTCTCCTCCACTCTAATCGTGTCTTGTGTTGTTGCTCGAGTACTGTGTCATATTGAACTTTATTAATTGCTTTGTTTTTTGCTTTACTTATTTTCAACTCGGTCTTGAATGTGCGAATTTGCTAAGTTTAAAGTTTATGTGGTCTTATGCTTTGTGAATTTTTTATGGGCTGTACACCTCTAATATCTAGTCTACTTTCTGGAAATTTGGGGCTTTTCTTGGCAAGTCTAGCTTTTGTGATTTTTTTCTCAGTCGTCTTCGAATTTTTAGGTAATATTTGTAAAAATACAAGTTATCGTGATATTTTGTTTGCATTCTCTTATTTCTCCAGTTTGAAATACAAAATACTAATGACAAATTCACTGCTAAGATTTTTCACTAGAAAAGTGAAGATAAATGCATAGTTATCATGGTATATCCATTTAATTTTTACGTCAAAGGTAATTGGAATATAGTTTGTGCTGGAAATTGGCCAAGTCTAGATTGCTGCCCATGAGCATAATCTGCTATGGAGTTTATATTGTTACGTGTAAGAATGGAGCACTTGTTTGTGGAGTGGATATATTGCTATGTATAATTCATGTTGTTTTTGTCTTTGTTGACTTAGAAAGCATATATTGGGTTTATTGAATATAAAATAGTAGCCCTTAGGAAAGGAAGAAGTACTAGATGAATATACAATATTCAATATTGACATGATTAAAGATGTGTAATGAAATTGTGACTGTCATAAGGAAAATTATGATGAAATGAATTTCTAGTTAGAGCAGTTTTCTTAGCTTTATGCTCCTATACCCATCCCTTCCATGATGCACAATTATAATGTGGATGAAGCTTATTTGCATAAACTCACACAAGGTTATGGCGGTGCATCATGCATGGTTCTTTTCTTTACTTGAGATACAGGTGGCAGGACTATCTTCCATAAGCTCACATGTGATGTGACGTAGGATGAATAAAGAGAAATAGTTAGCCAAATGTAGTGTGGGACAACCATAAAGTAGGTTTTTGGGGCGATAATACGTAGTCTTGTGGTTGAAAGCTTGGTGAGAGAAAGGTTTTTAGGGGTTTTATGGCTAACAAAAGGTGGAGCTGCAAGGCTATCATTAAAAGTGCTTAAACTGCAGAAAACTAAGAAAAAGAAGATGAAAGGCATCCCACCTAGAGTCCCATAGGCATCACGCCTAGCATTAGGAATGCATCACACAATCCCAAAGAAACTCCAAAAAGCTCTAAAGCATGTTCTTTATTGAATTATAAGTATTATATTACTTTTTTAAAAAAGAATTCCTAATTCCGAAAGGGCACTTGACTTCAAAATTTGAAATTTAGACTTTCGCTTCTAAAACTAACTAAAAAACATGTTTGGAGATCCAACAACATGGGTTGACTCATATTACAACCCACGACAACTCTAACAGCCCATGGCCAGAAAATTTTTAAGTCAGTAAAATTAGCCTATCATATGAAAACAAGAATACATAAAATGATTATGATAGGAGAATTTGATGTAACTACTAGTTTACCTTTCAAAAGAGACCAATTATTATTTTGTTGGTGGTTGTTCCCAATCATCTTATAAACTGATTGTTATTTACATTCTAGTCTCATTTAAAGCATATAAAATTATCTGAGTAAAAGAGCAACTAATAGTGCTGTAATTACTGCTAATTTTAATTTTTCTGAAGAAAGTTTGTACTGCGCAGAAGCAGAGCACAGTGCTCTGTTGTATGATAAATTTTGTAAAGAATAGGGATTTTTACTTTTAAGTAGACTAACTGATAAACCTATGCATTGCCACTTTCTTTGTATGGTGAGCATTTTGCATATTCTCCATGAAGTGCATTAGTCTTTTGTTTTGTCATTAAATAGAGCCTCCCAGTACAGAAAGCTCCCTAGCCCTTCTCTCTGACTACTAAAATGGTAAAAAAATTCTCCACATTGGCTCTAGATTCATTAAAGAAGTCAATGCAGGACAAAATAATAGATCAATCTTCCTGGTAGTTTTGTGGTAAATTGGTAAAACATTTAGGATGATGAATTTTTAACTGATCTGATTTCTATGCCAAATCATCATCTAGGGCAATAGGCATCGTGTTATGACAGTTTCCCCACGTTACGACCAGTACAAAGATGCATGGGATACTCATGTTCTTCTTCAGGTAAATTCTTTTTGGTGCTTGTTTTGCCAAATTCCAACCATTTCAATGAAAGGTTAGGTTTTACTATATACTAGTCTAGCGAATGATTCTTGGGATTAGTTTCTTCAAAGATAAGTTTCTATATTGCAGATAAAAATTGGAGACCGAATAGAGACAGTTCGCTTCTTCCACTGCTAGAAACGTGGAGTTGATCGTGTTTTTGTGGATCACCCAATGTTCCTAGAAAAGGTTTATTTCTATCCTCAATCAACTGTTCTCATATTTAGGGGTGAACTATATATACTTTAGCTGTAATAGTCAGCTTGATCTTAGTTCTGATGCTTGAATTTCTGAACTTTCAAAGGTTTGGGGTAAAACTGGATCTAAGATCTATGGGCCTAAGACGGGAGGATTACCAGGACAACCAAATTCGATTCAGTATATTGTGCCAAGTAAGTTATTTGATGCAACCTGTAGTTTCAAGCCCGTAATTCCATGAATGATTTTCATTCTTTGAACACTTGATTCAAAATAAAAAAGTGCAGTTGTTTTGTCGTAACTTCCTACTATATTATATATGGAAAATGATTGTCAAGCAGAAATTTTATACTGAAAACTCACTAAAAATGTTGTGGCAGTGAAATTTTTTGAAATTATAAACCACAGTGCTTTGGTAGGAAAATATATATATATATATATATTTTGTATATCATTGCTCATTATATATTAGAGAAGTAATCGGTCGATGGGATGTTAAGGCAAAAGGTTGGCATTGTGCTCCAAATTTACATGGTTTTGCATTCAACACGAGTCAATCATCCATGTTCTTGTTTGTTTTACATAATGACCACCTGTGGTATATCATTGTTTTATTTCCTCTTACTGCCTACTCAAGATTTTTGTTAGCCTACGCCTGATCACTTATGCATAAAATCTTCTTGTTAGTGCTTCTTGGTATGTGATAAAATCTTATTGTTAGTGCTTTTTCAAGTACTGTTTATAAGTATTGGGTACAAATTCTTTAATTTGTGTTTATTTTGGTGAATCTGATTGCAGTTTATGTTTTGATGCAGGCATATAAACCAGTGAAGACTACAAATTTAATGCTAAGACATGATTTTTAGATATATGTTAGTTTGTGGTTAATGTTAAGACATGATTTTTTAATATATGTTAGTTTGTAGTTAATGTTAAAACATTATTTTTGGATTTTGGACATGTTAATTTTGTGGGTAATGGTGATTGAATATTAATTGAATGAGAAAGTGAATTAATGCTTCATTACAGGTATTTTTTTAGTTCAATCAAATAAAATTAGCACAATTTCAAAAAAATAAAAAAAAGGTATATGACGGCGTTTTTACAAACGCCTCTTAAACCCTACTTACTAACGGTCACATTTTCAAAAAAAGATATGATGGCGTTTCTCCAAAACGTCGCGAAATATCGTCAGTGACGTCAGCGTGCGTTTAGTAGGACATTTGGCGGCATTTTTAGAAACACCGCCTATACTAATATCATGACGTTTTTAAAACGCCACAAAGCTATAGCGACGGCCTCGTCCTCGGCGTTTGGTGCTAAGCGTCGCAAAAGGAATTGGCGGCGTTTTTGACACTTATAGCGGCGTTTTTTAAACGCCACTAAAAGTCAATTTTCCAGCAGTAAAACTAGAGAAATCCAGGGAAAATTAAAATTTCTCTGGCTTTGTTCACAATTTCTCTGGTGTTGTTCACAGAGAATTAAAATTTCTCTGCCTTTGTTCAAAAAGAATTTTTCTAGCTTTGTTCACAAATTTCTTTGTGTTTGTTCATAATTTTAAACTAGAGAAAATAGTATTAACCAAATTAGAGAAATTTTAGCACAATGATTTTAAATCAGAGAAAATTGTTTTAACCAAACCATAGAAATTTTAACAAAACCAAAGAAATTTTAGCACAAATTTCTCTATGTTTGTTCACAATTTTAAGCTAGGAAATATTGTTTTAACCAAACCAGAGAAATTTTGGCACAAATTTCTTTGTGTTTGTTCACAATTTTAAACTAGAGAAAGTTGTTTTAACCAAACCAGAAAAAATTGTTTTAACCAAACCAGAGAAATTTTAGCACAATAATTTTAAATCAAAGAAAATTATTTTAACCAAACTAGAAAAATTTTAATCAAATCAAAGAAATTTTTCCTAATTTGCTTCGATGAGTCTAGTGTTGCGATCATGTTATCAATCAATGTATAATCAGAATTCAGAAAAACTTGATCTCAAATAGATTGTTAGTGAGAGAGAGGAAAGAAAAACCCACCACTCAAATACCCTCGTCTTTGAACATGTCCATGTTTACATATCCATCTAATGGCATCAAAATCACCAACCTTTCTCTTTCTAGGATGCATCTTGACATAGAAATTGGGAAACAACAAGGGAATGATTATTAGAGAGAGGGGAAAGAAAAACCCACCACTCAAATATCCTTGTCTTTCACCATGTCCATGTTTACATCTCCATCTTTAATGGCATCAAAATCACCAACCTTTCTCTTCCTAAGATGCATCTTGACATAGAAATTGAGAAACAGTAAGAGAATGGCAGTATCGAGAATCAAAATAGTAACAGAATGTGAATATATTTATATATATGTGCATGTATACATAGGATAACGATGACGATGACGATGACGATAATGACGATGCGAACACGGTTCCTCCAAGAACGTGAATCTGAGCCATGGGTGTCGCAATTTCTGTGTTTGAATCAACAAATCTCGAACCCTAACCCTAGTAATTGAAGCAATATGTATGTGATATGTATATATATATATATATATGTCTGTGTAGAGGGAGGGAGAGAAAGAGAGAAGGGTTGTGGAAGTTGATGTGGAGAAGTGTGAAGCTGAACCAAGATTGGATGGATGAGATATATGGGGGTGGGTGAGGGATCTTAGACAGGGATCTTAGACATCACAAAATAATATTGTAGAGCTCTTCCATTATTAAAAATAGGAGAGAAACCTTAGACAAATTTTCTCCATTTTATATTGTGTTCATATCTCTTTTTTTAAAGCGGTCGTATAGAACTACATTTTGTGCCCAACAAAGTGAAACAGCTTAATTTTTAAGAAATATCAAAAATTAGTGGTAAATTTTTTTTTTTAAAAAATCTTTTTTTCCACAAAAACTAAAAATAAAAATGCTTGATGTTTTTAAACTTTTCATTTATTTATTTTTTTGGCTTATGAAAACATTAAAAAAAATGAAAACAAAATCACACATAATAATACTTGAATGGTTGTTTTTTAGAATATAAAAAAGATTTCAAAATTGTATTTGCACTAAACGTATTCCTTTAGGCTTTGTTTGATTAGAAAGAAACATATAATAGAAAGTGAAGTGAAAGACAGTAAAGTGAAAGAAAAGAAAGAGAAATGAAATTTTATTTTCTTACATGTGTTTGATTAGGAAGAAAATTATGTAAGAAAATGATGGAAAAATTTTCAATATATAGTTTGGAAAGAAAGAAAGTTGTAGAAAAATTATTCTATTTTCCTAAATTGCCCTGATCCTTCTTTAACAAAACAATAATCACAAAAATAAGTCAATATAGTACCTTAATTTGAAAAAAAAAAAAAGTATCACCAAGCATCAATTGACATACATGTCATCCAATATTATTTATTTATTTATTTATTCATTTATTTTTTCTTTAACCAAAAATATTAACAAATGAAATGAATTTTATTCATTTAAAATCAATGCAATAGCTAATTATTATTTCTGAGACCCAAAGAACAGAGATTTTGGAAAATAAACATGTAACAAGAACTACTCTCTTGAAAATTGTGATTAACTTGCTTCAAAATACAAAATGACAAGCTTTTTTTTTTTTTCTTTTTTTTTTGAATGACTGTTCATCTTTGTGCCATAAAAAAAAAAACAGTGACCACTAGAATTTACTTATAAACCTTCCTAATATTAATACTAATTATTTTGGAAAACATATAAAGAACTAAAGTCCAACACCCAAGAGTTTATAGCAGTAGTTAATAAGGATTCAAAAACATGACTAAATTTTAAAAATGTAGCTCAAGTTCATACTTAGAATAATAGAAACTGAAATCTCACACCTACCTAGGACAAATACCAAACAGAGACAATGACTAGAACCAAACAAATTACTAAGAAAGAAGAATATCAACGAACACATGAACCTATAATTTAGAAACTTTATCCAACTTCAACTCCCAACCATTACTGAATACCATCCGGACCGCCTTGTGATAGTTGTCAAATTAAAAACAAGTAACGCATATCTTGAGGATATATCAGGAATGCTCTAGCTTTTATTGGATCTCTGTTCAAGTATTCAAAAGTAGTCATTCGGCTATTGATATCAAGCTCTTCAATATCCATTACGGCCTTGTAAAGTTCCAAATAATCTATGCAAGGCTTACTCTTCTCATATGCATCAGCCAATCTCACCATGTTAGTTGCAACGGCAACCATTGTTTCAGCAACAAGCTCTGCACCTTTTGACTTCTTTGACTGCTCTGTCACTGTCTTTGAAGATCTGTGGTTGTGCTTGCCTAGTGTAGGTTTTTGGCTACTAGTATTGCCTTGTTGAGTTGCAAATTCATTTCCTTCTATGTCACCCACGTCGTTTGCCACCATGTTGTCAATGGGATTGAAGAGATGTGAATACTCATCCTCACTATCATTTGTTTTCTTTGAATAGTTAGCATTTAGATCCTTGCCAGAACATGCCCATTCACCAGTAACTTGATCATTGCCACACAAAATAGATAATTCATCAAGCATCTCAATCTTCTTACCTCGTAATCCTTTTGCATTTGGATTTGCCTGCAAAAGTCATATACCACCATAATTTTTATGTATATAACCAATAGTCAATTCCTAAGCACATATATATTTTTTTTATAACAAAAAAAAAAAAATACTTACGGCAACATATGTAGTCCATACTTGATCACTGCATTCAACCATTTTTGTCATTGGATTCCAAGAGAATCCACTTTTACTCAACATTTTCTGTACCAATCTAAATTTTTTCTTGATAGTTTTTAAGTGATTAACACAATGCTCGCGACTGAGAGAAAGGTTAAAGCTTGAATTTAAAGATGAACAAGCTGTAATATAAGCTTGATCTTTAAAGCCCTTATCCACTTTGTACCCTTCATTAGCTTGATGCACTAGTTCTAAAATAAGACACTTATCCATCTCTTTAAACCAAACTATGTTCTTTCCTCTTTTCTTCCCATCTCCTATGGGATGTTAAGACTCATGTGCCTCAATTTCCTATAATAATAACTCACAAGTATGCTTAACCAATAACATAAGATCAAATCATTAAAAAATTAAGAATACTACAATTGAAAATGACTAGCATTTACATTATTAATATTTAGAGTTCAACAACAAAATACTACCATTGTTCAATAATAATAGAAAACAATGAAATACTACCATTTACATTTATCTACAAATAACAAAACATTAGTTTTCGAGAATTCAATTGATGTCTTTGACCAAAATCAGCCCACATTTCATTCATTATTTGCGTTCGAATTCTCTTTCTTTCTCTTCCATCTTCAGCCCTAGTTAATTGTACGTCAACGATATCATGAATAGGAGCAGTTTCATTGTTAATCGTTTTTTAGAAGTGGATTATATGGCATCACTCCTCGAATATGATTGTGCATGATACAAACAGCAATTACTAACTTCCTTTGAGTCGTATAGCTAAACATTGGCTCTTCCACCAAAATTCTAAATCGTTTTTTTAATACCCCAAAAGCTTGCTCAATTGCATTTCGTAGTGACGAATGCCTATGGTTAAACAATTCTTTTAATGTGGTGGGCACTCGACCTCTAATTTCATTTAGATGGTATCTTGTACTTCGAAATGGG